GAGTATTGTTGTAGTCAGTTTGACCTGAAAGTAATGTGTTTACATTCAGACAGTGTTACAACTGAGCCAAGTCCTCCAGGCAGTGGGAACATGGATTGTGAAGGAGCACCAGGTGTCTTGGTACACCCTTGGTACCAGTCAGTTTGCACCTGGCTGCAAAAGCATCTTCAGTCTCTGAATACAGACTACTCTGCAAGTAGCACAGCTGTAGTTGGGAATTACCTCATCTGAGCAAACTGAGGCTACTGTACCATCCTCAATCTATATTAAATCAACTTGAGAATCTGCTTCTGTGGTTTAGTTTTCCTGTTCAATCAATAATCTGCCTTTGATTAATAGTGCTGACTGTTAAGAGTAAAAGCTAACATCTAAAAGTGAACTGCAAATTTTAATGAATTGTGATAGGGAGTTAAGACATATCTCTGTGTGTGAGAGTGAATGTGTCAAGAGAGGATGAGTCAATTCCAGGTGCAGAGTCAATGCAGACAGGTTAAAGCATGTTAAACATTGTGTGATAGCCATCACTGATGTGTGAAGAGCTGTCACTGGGAGAGTTTTGCATGATGATGTGTTACATCAATTTCAATAGTCTTACTGTGACACAGGACACAAATATTCCCTACAATATTGTTTCTGCAGTATTGCAGAGATCCTTGGTGTTGTAAGGGGATAATTCCCAGGAGTTACCTGCTGACTGTCTTAAGAGCAGAAAGTAAATCAGGCTGATTAATCTCTGTGACTGTTACTTATTCATCCTTCACTGCTTTCCCTTTGAAATAGCTGTGCCTGTGTTAATCAGGGACAGATAAATTCCAGAGAAATCAAGAAACATGTATACCTTCCCTGTATTTAAGAGGACTTGAGACTAATTTACACTGTGTCATCCATAATAATGTAGAGAATATAAGAAGCATTTGTGTTTGGTGCTGTGGTAATGATCTTGAATGTGGTTTGGTGAAATTACCAAGCTCAGTGAGAAAGTCCTGCCTTTCTTGCAAGCAGCACACATGCCTTCCTTGAGTAGCTGGCTGGGGCAGAAATCTCTGGCTTCTCATCGTGTCTCTCTCCTGTATGTGGGACTGAAGTAAACAGGTTTTTAATGAGCTTATTTTCTTGATCTTCAGTATGGAAAAAGTGACCAAAAATGGTGAAACTCTTAAGTCAAATAAATGTAGTCATGACAGGAATTCATTTATAGAGTCATAGAATGTCCTGAGTTGGAAGGGACCTACGAGGATCATCAAAGTCCCAACTCCTGGCCCTGTGCAGGACACCCCAAGAATTGCACCTTGTCTCTGACAGTGTTGCCCAAATGCTTTTTGAACTCTGTCAGGCTTGGTGCTATGACCACTTCCCTGGGGAGCCTGTTCCAGTGCTCAACCACCCTCAGGGTGAAGAAGCTTTTCCCAATGTCCAGTCCAAACCTCCCTTACCCAGTTTCAGGCCATTCCCTTGGGTCCTGTCACTTGTCACCAAAGAGATCAGTGCCTGCCCCTCCACTTCCCCCTCTCCCATGGAAGCTGTAACTGCAGTGAGGGCTCCTCTCAGTCTCCTCCAGGCTGAACAGACCAAGTGACCTCTGTGCTGCTCATATGGCTTCACCTCCAGCCCACCATCTTCATTGCTCTCTTTTGGATGCTCTCTAACAGCTTAATATTTTTTTAATATTGTGGCAGCCAAAACTGTACCCAGGACTCAAGGTGAGGCCGCACCAGTGAAAAGTGAAGTGGGACAATCACCTTTTTTGACTGGCTCCAATTGCTGACTAAACTTTAGAGACAGTGATCATGCCCAGCCCTGCCTGACAGTACAGCAATGGCAGCTCTGAACCTGTGGTCTTTGTTGGGGTTTCTTGTGCATTTTTATAGCTTTGGTTGGGTGGGAGACAGCACTAGGTGAAAAGAGCAGTAATAGAGCAGTTTGTTGCTCTTATTAGCAGATGACCTGTAGGTGAGCTTTGCTTTTAAATGGCAGTTAGTGAACCCAAATGTTTAAGCAATGTCAAACATGATTTATTCATAAAAAATGTGATTTAAATATTTTTGGTGGTTACTTCTTCATGCTCTGTGCGTATATGGGTGAGTCACCTTTTGCTGAATCACTGAGTGGTGTGCCTCCCAGCAGCAGTGTGCAGGGATTTCCCATTTCACAAGTGGGAATCTACCAGTAGTACCTAATGAGAAAGCTACCTCAAGGTAAGCTTTGAAACTGGGGACACGTGGCACAGCGTGATCTAGGGATCAGAAAGGGACTGGCAGTGAAGCCTTAGGAAATCTGTATCCTGCTCTGCTCATAGTTCCTGGTATGAGTTAGAGTAATTAACCTGTCTTCCTTGTGCTCCATTTGCACACTCATGCAACTTCTGGAGATACTAGATTAATAAAATACCCTTGACTTTTTAAATGAGAGATCACTACTGCTGTTTTTGTATTAACACCATGATGTGCAGTTACTTTCCTGTGTGACTGAAACAAGTTTTAGTGTGTCTCACATCTTCCTTTCTTGAGAAGCAGCCAGGTGTGGGAGTAGGCACACTTAGGAAACCCCCATGTAAGTTTTGTGACTCCTTGTAGATCGCCTCCATTAAGTGCCCAAGCCTAAAGTGAGAGAAAAGGCTCTTTAGTGAACTTGTGCAGAACAAAATTATCTTTATTTCATGAAAACAAAAGTAATTTCTGTCTTCTGTATTTTAGTTGTGTAAGTAAGGTTAATCTCTGTGTTAAGTAGAGGAGGGACAGTGGGTTGTTATGTAAGCAGCAGTTTAAAAATTTTAAAATGCTGACTCCCTTTAATTTCACTACATTTTAAGCCTTTGAATTTTTCCATTGCTGTCGCTAATTTATGCCAACGTCTCAATTTTCTCCCAGAAGCACTTCACACTAGAAAACCTCATATGCTAAAAATATGTAGGACAAGAAAGTCCACATGACTAACAGGTACAAAGTACCACTAGTTACCACCTCCAGAAAGAAAGACCTACAGGAGCTGAATCCAAGAATACTTGGGAATAGCTACTATTGACCAGTCTGTATGTGGAGCTGCTGGTTTTTATCTTCTTTTTTTTTCACATTATTTTTTGCTAACCTTTCCTTAATGTAGCAAAATGTTAGGCAAAAAGAAAAAATATTTTCATTTGGAATTTCTAAAGGTTTGCTAAAGTTACTCATTGTTATTATTTCTTCACTGTTGACTTCTGTACATGAAAATGTGCAGAAATGTGGATGCAGTAGTTACATTCCTAACTTTAATTATCTTTAATGAACTCAGATTAACCAGCTTAATTCTCCTTTGGTATTTGAATCCAGCTATTTGCAGGACTGGTTCAGTGCATGAGAAGTTATTGCATTTGGCCTTTTCCTGCTCACATTATGCTTTGTTTGTTTTAACCAGGGAAAAGTAGATTGTACACGTGTGTAGCCAATATCCAGTGTGATCTCCTGGAAGCAGGAAGTCAGTTCCAATAGGTACTGTTAGGTGTTTGTGCTTTTCATTAGCACCAAGATCCTGTATCTGTATGAAAACAGAGCCTTTAGTCCCTCAGAATCAATACTGACAACAGCAACTTACAGCTTATTAATGCAGAAAATCTTCTGGCTTCCTCTCCCAGATCTCAGATCCAGATTCGTGGCATATTTTATTTGAGCCATCTGCAGGTCCCTCCCTGTGAAGGGCAGTCCCACATTTCCTGTCTCACCACCTCCAGCGATGTGTTCCCTTCAGTCATTGAACCTTTGACTCAAGTCTGTCTGCTGGGTTGTGCTCAGCCCTACAAAAGTCTTTTGTTGGATCAGTGAGCTCGTGGTAGTTGTGATATAGATCTGACAAAACAGAAGTAGTGAGATTGTGCAGCTTGAGAGAAGACTGAATAGGGCCACCTCTTTCTTTTGGTACTTGCAGCTAGATGAAACTAAACGTATTGTAAAATGGCACACAAAAGTTACATGAATAATTCTTTCTAGCCCCTGAATCAAAAGCAAATTATACCAAAAAATGAGAAGGATCACAAATAGGAGGAAAGGAGGGTAAAGAGTAAGAGAAGGGCAATTGAAGGTATTAAAGGGGGAAGAAGTAACAAGGAAGAGGGAAGTAGCTAGAAAAGCAGGAATGATTAAAGAATGATCAGGAGATTGTATGTTGGCAAATAGTGGTAACAAATGCAGGTAAAAGTTAGAAAATACCTTTCCCTGGTCGTTGAGCATACTGTCCTTGTCTTTCAAATACAATAGATGCATGAATCCCAAGAAACAATTATTTTGTCTTTCTGGGTCGAAATGACATGCCACGGTTTTGTGGGCAGCCCACAGCAATAACGTGGATGCTGAAAGGCAGAACCTTTGCCCTCCCTGAGCTCAGCCTGGGTGAAGCAGGGAGGGAAAGTCCCAGGCACAAGTGCCTGTCCTGAGAAGCACTTCATGCGGAACAGGCCCAGCCCTGAGAGACGCTGAAAGTCCCTCTGAGTTTACGACTGCTGTGTTGGTTTACAGGCGGGCGGCTGATCTGGATGTGGTTTTCATAAAGCCTTAGTCCCGAGGTCACGGATTTCCATGTCCTGCCGCCTCCCCGCAGGGCCGAGGAGGTTTCCAGCTCCGGCAGGTGGGGCTGGAGAGGCGATGTGCTCAGGGCTCCCGGTGCTCCGTGATCACCGTGGGCATCACGTAAATCCAGCGTGATTCATTCCCTCGCCTGACTTGGAAATTCTGACATCTCCATACAGCTCTGCCCGAGGTCGTTCATGTCATTTGAACTGCAAGAGCTGGGGTGTGAAAGCACTGTATTTACTGGGTGGTTGAGCAGCTTCCTTCAATGAATTGGTTTGTTGTGTCTTTTTTCCTTTGTGATTAGGGAATTTAATTACTTATCTGCTTAATTCACATTGCAGTTAAGAACTGTGTGAAACGAGAGTAGTCTAGAAGTCCCTCTAGGTGAGACACATGAAAGTATTCCATGTCACTCAGTTTTAACAGCTAAGAAAAGCTTTGGGTTTGCTTTGTTTTCTGCAGCTGTTTGATGCTATCAACTGCCTGGCAAAGGAGAATGCCCGATTGCTTGTGCTGGGACGCAAACATATGCTGACAAACTCTTCAAATTGGAAAAGAGAAATTATGAAAGAGATGCAGAGTAAGGCAGACTTCTTCTTTGCTGAAAATATGTAAGTTGAAGAAAACAGCTCAATGTAATAGAGACCAACACCTGATTTATGTGCATTTTTCTCTAGCTTTTAGTACCATTACTAGTATCTTTATCTGTGTCTGTGAAAGACACATATCCCTTGCTACACTTGCCTCAAAAGTACATAAAAAGTTACATTGGGAAGACTTTCATCACTTAGAATCATATGGACAGCTGTATGGTTTATTAGGATTTATGACTGATAAAACCCAAGAGCCCTGAACCACAGAATTTCTGGTAGCATCAGTGTGCAGTTGTGGTCTGCTGCTGTGTGGAGGTACACTGTTGAGTTTTAGCAGTTTTGTTCTACACAGCACAGTATTGTTAATCTTTGTGGCAGGAGATTATATTGTTCTATTATCAGATTGTGAGAAGAGGAAAAAAGTGCTCTAAGTAGCACGTGATTAATTTTTATTGCACTCAAGCTTTTGGTGCCCTGTGGTAAACGATTTTTTATTTTACAGGGAACTAGAGTAGTGGTGGGAATTTTCAGTGTTGCTGATGAATAAATCTTGATCAGCATTTGAATCACTTCCTGCAGGCACTCGCTGCCTTGTGAATGACGTCTGTCCTTTCCATTTGTTTTGTGAAGCTCTGAAGATGACCCCTTCTTGCTGTATGCCACTCTCCGCTCAGGCAAGCACTGCCGCTTCGTCAGCAGAGACTTCCTGCGGGACCACAAGGCCTGTCTGTCCGACAGCGTGACACGCCACCTGTTCCGCAAGTGGCAGCGCGGCCACCAGATCGTGTTCTTCCCTGCTGCAGCAGGAAGGAGCATCAATTTCTTGGTAAGTTTTCCCGCTGCAGTCAGAAAACACACGGAGCATATTCATTGAAGATACATGATTTCAGACCCTAGAGGCCAAAATATCATGTTGAAGCCTAAGAAATGGATTTGTAGCAGTGCGCTCAAAAACCCACTGGATTCACAAAGCATGCCACAAACTGGAAGAGAGCCAAGAAATGCTACCTAAATGTTTAAAATGTTAATAAAATTTATGTATACAAATATTTCCAGTGCTGGAAACCATTACTGGCCTCAGTAAAACCTGAGTGCCAATGTTTTAATTTATTTTACACTTTGAAATCCCATGTTCTCCTCTGCAGCACTATTATAAAATATCGTACTTCCAATTACAGAGTTTCTTTCATCTTTATTTTAAAGAAGCTGGAAAATACAGGCATTTCAGCATTCACTGTAATAGTAACCTAGCGTAGGTGTAAACTTGCATGAGGGAAAGCCCATAACAATCAGGTTTATAGTTAGTATTCAGCTACAGAAACTGCAGGAATATCATCTTATGGCAGAATACTACTATTATTTTCTAGGAGATATGTATCCTTGTGAACAGTACATTAACAGGAATGCAGCTGTTAAGATTTTTCCAGGGAAAAATCCATCATGTGACATTCTACATGCAGTTCTTTTGTTATCTGCTCTGTCTGTATTGTTACTGCCTGCTGAAAGGAATACTGCACCTATGCAGATTAATTTTCTTCCTTTGCTGGTTAAAATTGTAAAATAACATTCAGGATTACAGAGATAGCAGTTTGTAAGAATGACAGCCTTTCATTCTTTATTTCCATACATACATTGCTTTGTATGGAGCCAGATAATGAATGGTGGGTCACCTGAGCTAAGCTAACACAGCTTTAGCTGTTTCTTTCTCTTGTACAAAGGGACTACTAATTTTCAAATCTTAATTCCTCTACAAGTGATTTGGGTGATTGGTATTCCCAGCCATAGCTGTCTTCTGAGTTTGTCTGAAAGCTACCACAGTAAAGGAGACTTCCAAGATTATACAGATAGAGTGATAGTATGTCCTGGGAACCATAATTACCAACCAGTAATGTTTCTTTTGTATTTGTCTTATACATGTTGAATTAGAGTACCTGCAATGTAATAGACCTGAAAGATTGTTTATTCTTTCTGTTCAACCAGATGCTTCTGCAAGTGTTAGTGATAAACCCTTTTCTTACTTCTCCTTGGGACAGAGCAAGTCAGCTCTGTAAAGAGACACACTGGGAGAACAAATACAAGATGTCATTAATGTCATTAAATCCTACACTCAAGCCTATAAACTCCACATCCTGAGTAATTCCCATATGATTTCATTTAACTGAACAGAACAACAATCATTTTGTCATTTCTAGTAATTGAGTGCATTATCCTGAAATCATTATTATCTAGTGCAGATGGAAGACAGAATTTATAATGGCACCTAGACCACAAAATACTAGAAGATAGTTTAGTTTTTCCTCCAATACTAAAATTTAGAATTTGCTTTGTATAAGAAAATAAAATGAGAGTTGTTAAGAGGTAAAACTGTGGAGACTTCTAAGGGAAGCATTGGAAGTTTTAACTAACTACCTGTAACTGATATTTCAGAAATACTTTGTACAAAGTCTAAAAGAAAATGTTTTCCCTGTGTTTTTTCCCAACAGCCAGCTTTGTGTTACGACTGTGTGGTACAGACCACAGGTGATACATGGCATATTCCCTATAAAGATGTTTTTGAGGAAAAATATTCATATCAAATACCAAGAAAATGGCTCTGCATTCACCAGAAATGATGAAGAATGTAATTGGATAAGCTGAAGTGGCCTCTTTTTTTTTTTTTTTTTTAATCTCTGTTGCTGGCTAGGAGAATTCAGCAGGACAGTTATGGGGTGAGGTGTGTTACTAAAGAAAATTGAGTGACTGCTTTTGACAAAATCATTCCTGCATACATCTCTTAACACCAACAGTGGTGGTCCAGTGGGGGTGAATTATGTCCATGATTTCTGTTTTTACAGGCAATTTTTGATTTGAATTAAAACTTGCTTTTTCCTGTTGGAATTAGAGTTTGGGCATTTTTATCTTTTATTTTTTCTCAAGCTTTTCATCTACATTGGAATAAACTCTGTACATTGAAGAAATTAAGCAAGACTTGCAAAGTACCTTCAGAGTTTGTGGTGCTGAGCTTACACAAGTGTTGCACAATGTCTACCTCTAGTCAGTGGAGCTAAGGGGGATAAATGGTGCATTTACCATTCACACACAGACCTAAGACTTCCTCACTCTAATTAGAGTTTGTTTGATAACATAGAATGCAAGAGATTGGTTAGAGAAACATATAGCAGTCATTTGTTTGGAAGAATAAGGAAAGAGCCAGTGGGATTTGGGGATTTTTTTAGTGACTCTTCCACACTCCTAAATTTGCCGTTTCTGACAGGATTTGGCATTACTGCAATAGTTTGCTGGTGGAAATGCGTGTATTTTTTAAATGAAAATGGATAGCTAGAAATTCTTAAAGACAATAATAGGACAAAATTGATTCTTGTACATTTCTAAAAAATCTGTCCCAAATTATAAAGCAAACCAATAGTATAAATTACAGTAAAACTGTTCTGAGTTATTTGTAAGTGTGTGTATGGTAAATGTGCTTGTTTAGTGCACTTACAACTTTAATGCAAACCTTTCTCCCCCCAAAATGTAGAAATGCCACATAAAGCTCAGATGAAATATCCTGGGCTTGTCACATCTGTGTCATACAAAAATCCTCTGTTCGAAACTGAGATGAAATGTCAAGATATTTTGTATAGAAGTCACAGTTCTGAGTTCTTGCAGGCCCTGTGACAAGCTCCCTCAGGACTCAGCATTCAAGCATGTTCCCTGCTATTTTTTTTCCAGGACAGTCCTGACACATGTTCTACCTCTGGTATGAGTTTGTAAACCAGCAGGTGTGATTTGCATACAGTCATGTCCTTCAGAAGTGTCCCTCACACTGTGCAGAAAGTGTAGAGGAGCTGGGTGCCTCTTAAGGTAACATAAAACATTGGCTTTAAATTCATCATATTGCTGGTAGTGTTCATCACAGACCCTTTTCCTGACAGAACATGACAGCTCCTATGGAGTCCAGCAGGAAAAGCAGAGGGATTGGATCTACTTCTCTCATTCCTTAATACTTCTAATTTGTCAGAAGATTGCTTTTATAATTAAGTTAGAGAACTGCCACTTCACCTTGAAAGTGGAAATAGTGCTTTTAAATTGGGTGTGTCTGCTCCTGTGCAGGAGGGCTTAGTTAGCAGCTGCTGCTCTGTACAAGGCTCCCACACCCCCGTATGCAGCTGTGCATGGCCTGAGCTGGTGCCACTCTGTGCTGTTACAGCCCTCCTTTGGTCCTCGCTCTGATGGTCCTGCAGCCCAAAGCAATGCAGAGATGGGTCTTAAAACTGTTTTGGCTAGGTCAGAGCTGGCATTGTTGCACTCAGCTAGCACCATGGCACAAGTACTGGTACCTGTGTGGGGTGGGGTTCAAATGTCAGCCTGCAGAAGGTGGGTCCCTGCAGCAGCTCTGCCTTAGGTCAGCCCTGGCTGAGCAGAAACTGCACCTTCAGGGTGGGTACCCATTTCATTGTCATTGAATTCTGTATTTTACCTCATCCTGGCCATTAACAGGCATGCATAATATCCACATATAGCTGTAATAAATGCATCCTCTACTTCCTTTTTAATCAAGACATGTCCCTAATCAATCACTCGGGTTTCACCTCAAAAACTGTTCTTAAAGAGATACTGTAATGCCTTCTAAATAATAATACTTCCTAAATACACATTACTAGTATATTTAGGGGATGATGGAACAGAATATGGAATTTACAAGTGGAAGGTATTACAACATTGATGTCAGATTTGTGATGTCTTTTTTTCTCTGTTTGCTGTTAAAACACTTCTCTGTAGATCCTTACAGGAAATAATGGCCTCTGTGGAACCAAAGGGGAAACATCAGTGATGACCCTACAGACTTCTTCAGGTGCATACTACATGGAGACAGACACACGGGCAAGATAGAGTTGAGAAAGAACTGATTCAGCCTGTACTCCAGCTATTATCACCTCCAAGATCTCCCACTTACTGCTTACTATGTTAAAAAGATGACAGTGGAAACAGTTTTCCTCAGGATCCTGCAACACAGAATTTGACTCCATAGCCAAACTCATCAGTAGTGATTTAACATTAAACCAAAAGCATGATTGCTCTTCTGGAACAGTGCTGTACTCTGGAAGCTATATCCTGAAAGTAGCATCATTTCCACCCTGTCATATCCATGCAATTGAGGAACTATCTCTTTTCTTTATCTAATTCAAATACTGAGTCTTTGATTCCAAACATAAGGATTTTCTTGGTTACTATTTGGCAATCAGGCTGAACACTTGATATTTACTTAGATTTTCTCATGCCCTTTTTCTCAGGAGAAAAAAAATCATTCCAGAGAATCAGAGAACTGTAAAGGTATGGATCATCATCTTGGAGAAACTGGTCTTACAGAGGTCATAAGAATCACAAATGATGTTGTGGAAGGAATGCCTAGGGATCTGTCATTGGCTGTGTCAGTGCAAAAGCATCAAGCGGTACTTGCAGATAGAAGGTTCAGATAAAAGATGAGGTTTCAGGTAAAACCACACAACATGCTGTTCTGCTGACCAGCTCTTTGCCATGGCATGTGGATTCAAGAAGTACAGGTGGGTTCAAGGGGAGACCAGAAAGTTTGTGAAAGAGAAGCAGAAGGGTTACTAAATAACCAGACACTATCCCTGCCTTGGGCAGTCCCTCCAGATGGCTGGAGGCTGGGAGAGGATTCAGGGAGTGTATCATGAAATGCTCTCTAACCCTTAAATCCTCGGGTATCCCCCTTTTGGCCACATTTGGAGACAGACACTGGATAGGACTGGCTCCGTTCTGAGCCAGCAGACACAGTCATACGTGTTCGTGTTCTGTGTGTCCCTAACAAAAGGGACAAACTGAGTCTTGTTATGCATAGGACATTATTCTCCCATAGTATTAATGAGCAAGAAGTATTTTGAAAAATTTGAGAATACAGACTTTTAATGCATGGCATACACAAAATCCACCTTTATTCTGCTATTTCAACAAAGAATAAGCTCTTCTAATAATAACTTCAAAGTAGAGGTGTGGATACCAAAATGCAGCTTTTCCAACTCTTTTAATGACCAGCTTTTAAAAAATGCCTTCCCACAAAGAGCAGGGGAATTCCAAGATGTTAAAAGGCAAAAAACTTATAATCACGAGTTTCAATTGGGGAAATTCCCTTTGGACTGGACACCGATGAAAAGTCTTTTAAACATCGCGTTATAATGCAGCTGCGGCAACAATTACCTACGAATACCTTAAACATGGTTTTTTGAGGTACTTGCTTTAAAATTACTCTCATTCAAGAGCACAGGCGGAAATACTTCGTTCGGAATTTTAGGAGGGGTTTTGTTTTCCCGGCTGGCTGGTGATACTTTGATCCAGTGCTGATGAATGCCGCGATGATGCTTTTATTCCGTTGCCTGCGCGTTCCCTCAGGCACGTCCGGCGGGCTTCCAGGGTTCCACGAGCCGAGCCGAGCCGAGCCGAGCCTCACTGTCAGTGTCATTGCCACTGTCACAGTCGCCCGCTCAGCAAAGCCCCGCCTTCCGCTCGCGCCCTCCGTGACGCGTCTCGGCGCGGCGGCCGCGGGGCTCGCGCATGCGCAGCGCCGGTGCCGGAGCGTGACGGTGCGGGAGCGGCGCGCGCCTGCGCGAGGTGTGCGCGTGCCCCGGAAGCGCTCCGGCGGAGGCTGCGGCTGCGGCGGGGCCCTGCACGCGGACAGCTCCCCCCGGCCCGCGCCGCTCCCGCCATGTCCCGCGGCTCCAGCGCCGGCTTCGACCGGCACATCACCATCTTCTCGCCCGAGGGCCGCCTCTACCAAGTCGGTGCGTGTCCGGCCGCGGCGCCGCCGCCGAACTGCCCCGTCACGGGCCCGGCCTGCCCGCGCTCCCCGCCGAGCGGGGCCGCGGCCGGCGGCCTGTGCGGAGGGGCGGACGCGGCGCCTGTCGCGGCTCAGGAGTCCCGGCTCCCGCCTGGCCTGGTGCCGCCGTGTGTGGGGGAAGCCTGGTGGGAGCGTGGAGCGGCGGCGGTCCCGGTCGTGCCGGCGTGGGGACCCGGGAGGGGATCCTCGCATGAGATAAGGAAACCTTGGGCCAGGATGGCTCTCTCGAGTGTCCCCCGCCGCCGGGAGGGCCTGCTCGGAGCCCCCGGTGTTCCATCTCCCATGCTTGGACACCAAAGCTGCCGCTCTCCAGAGGCTGTTCAGTCTCCCTTTAGTGTTTCTTTCAGTGAATCTTGCCAAGCCTCGGAGCGCTGCCTTTTGGGATCTGAGAGCTGTGATAGCTCTTGGAAATGGGATTTGAACAGCTCAACCCTGCATGCCGGAGTGACAGAGTCAGTTCTTGCGTGTAACTCATGCACTTTCTTGTTACATCTGAATGCCGCTTGTTCCATGGCCTGTGAGATAGCAGCAACCATCCTTTGTTTTCAGGTTTCTTGGAATAACCTGAAGCCAAGCTTCAGCTTCTTCTGTAAGCCACTGGTTCTGTTATTCCTATTTTTGCAGTGCACCAGATTGTACAGAAGCACATCCTGGTGCCCTTGTGCGGGATACAGCCAGCTCACAGTGTGCCAGGACAGTAGTTGGGGAGTGCCCCTGGAGGAGCCTCTCAACAGGGACACATGAACTGTTCTGCAGCATCATCCTGATGCTGCCTCCCCCAGCTGCAGCGCCTTCACTGCACATTCACTGCATGTTATGTCCATAAATCCATCTGTTCTCCAGAAAGGAGCTTGCTGGGGTCAGATTGCATTAATTGCCCGTGGCAGCCATGTAGTTTTTTTGTGACTGCCCTTGAGTTTTTCTCAGGAAGAAGCCTGTATGGATTAGGCCTCATGGACAGGTGGCCCAGTCTTGAGCAGTCCCTTCTGCAAGGAAGAATGAGGAAAGTGCCTGTACTAGATACCTACATGTGAATGCTGTCGTGTA